GGAAGCCAGAGTCCTTGGGCTGGCCCCACTGCTGATGCTGTGTGACCCCTGGCAAACCTCTCAACATCTCTGAGTCTCAGGAGCATCATCAAAAAAGAGGAGTTTAATGAAAAGATCTTCACAGGTTCCTTCCAGATCCAATATTCTATTACTCTGTGGAACTGAAACTATTTCATCCATATACAAAAAGTTAACTTTCTTTTGGCCTATAAAGTAAAGAATTTCTCATAAGTCATGGGAATGAGAACTCATTGACAACAGTTTTCCCAACTCCCTTTAGTCCACAAATATCACCAGATAGAAGCAAGGCACTCTTCAGGGTCTGTTGAACAGGGCTCTGAGATTATGGAAATGAGTCTTGTATCGAGGACTCAGCACAACCACTACCACCATTTCTCCCAAATATACTGACCCCTCCTATATGTGATCATGCTGATCTAGTCTATTCTATTTTATTCTGTGCATTTTATTCTATTTTAAAAAATATTGGTTCAAATCCCCTGAATTGGTTTGGTGACTCATGAGAGGGTCACTTCCAAACCCGTGGTTTGAAAGATCCTGCTATAGCCATGATCACAGGGAAGGCTACGCCGATACCAAGGACAGCATTAAAGGAAGTAAGGCACCATCAGAGCGGCTGTCACGAACTGGACACAGGGACCTGAGCAGGAAGAAGCAAGACAGTGAGCGGCTCAGAATTCAGAGGAGGGAAGGAGCACAGTTGGGGAAGCTTCCTGGCTTCTGGAGGGCCATGGTCTTTTCCTTCCTTACTCAGTGTGTCACTGCTGCTGGCCAGTGACTGTGGCCTCTGTCCAAGGGGCAAAGATCTCTCTCTCTGATGACTTTCCCCTGGAGTTGACTCGAGGGGTACAGATCTGCATCACCTCGTCCTGAATGTTCATGAAGCCTCAGACACAGAAAAGTCATGGATGGACATGACAGGTAGTATTTGATGGTTGTTTCAAGCACAAAATTTTTTTTAAGTGCAAAAAGGTTAACTTAGAGACTACAGATCAACTTAAATTTCTTCCAAGATTTTCATTCCACTCTGTGATCTGTGGGCCCTAAAAGATAACTCCAAGAGTTGTATCCAGTCCCTTTATCAGAAAAATTAGACTCAAATCCTTGGATCGGAAGACCTCCAATGATGCCTACTGGCTGTACCTTCTTCCCTGGATGGAAGGGATCCACTCAGCCTGGAGTATCTTGCAGCTGTACAATATATACATCTTTCTCAGGTCCTCTTGGAGGAGGATCCGTTTCCCTGCAGGGCCATCTGCAGCAGATCTGTCCCCAAGAACAGATCCTGGTCACTCCAAATGGCCCCTAATCCTGTTCAGAGCTCTGAGTGAATCCATGGATCAGAACTCCCCTATCGAAGGCCCATCCTCTGTTTAACTCCCTGCCCTTGCACTGGTGCCAGCAAGCACTCCAGTCTTTGTCACTATAGGCTTCAGGGCCGAGGCACAAGGGTACACCTCTGGACTGGGCACTGCTGACAGAAATGGGCAGTTCTCCAGGAGGATGCAGCTGCTGTGTGCTGGCAGCTGGGCCACAGGGAAAGCCCTGTAGGAAGCCACATGACCAGGAAGATGGGCAGGAAAGGCATCTGGGAGAGAGGCTGGAGGCTACACACTGGCAGAAGCCCTGGGCCCAGAGAGGAGCTCTGGACCCATCTATGGAAAGGGTCCCCACCCTGTCAGCACTTGAGTCTCTCCGGAGGCCTCAATCCCAAAGTTGGCCAAGCAGGGCCTATGTGCAAGGTGTGGGTGCAGCAGGGCTGAGAGGCCCAATCCCCCAGGGTAGCACTAGCAGAGTGCCAGCCTCCTGGGGACCTCCACAGCAACCCACACAGACGAGCCAGGTTTGGGGGCCTCTTCCTATCCTATGTGTAGGGACACATGGGAATAAATCTCCCCTGCTCCTAGGAGAGAATCGGTCCTGCCGCTACCTCAGGTGCCAGGAGTCCTGACGATCTCTCTTGGAAGGGCCTGGATTGAATTTCAGGAGAGCTCGGCACTGTAAAAACACACAGGCACTGTGGTTTGGGTCTCCAAGGACTGACCGCAGGGCTGGGAGCTCTGCCTTTTTCAGAGGAAACTTCACTAACAGAAACAACCTGGAGAATTGGGTGGTGGGGACAAGGGGTGCAGGATAAGGGCATCGAGGCCCCCAGCCTGGTGCATGCAGGTGAGCACACCACACAGGTTCCCATAAGCAGCCACTGTCTTGGCTCTTGTGCTAGAAATGGCAACTGTGGATGTTTTGCACTTTACCATGAAGCAGGAGAAATTCAACTGGGAATACAAAAGGGAAAACCAGTAACAGGTGTTTTTTTCAGACCAGTGCTTTTTTTTTTTTTTTTTTTTGCTTTTGCTTTTGCTTTTGCTTTTGCTTTTGCTTTGTTTGAGAGGTGAGAAATGAAAACCACACATAACACTTAGAAGGCTGATACACAGGATTTGTCAGCTGGGGTTTGATATGACTGCTGCTGTACCTATGAACATATGCTCACCCAATCCCACAAAGTCCATTTCACTCGCTATCTGGAAGTGCAACATGGACAGCCCCCACGTGTGGGCATGCATTGCGCTGCTGGAGCTAAGTGGACACATTAGCTGCTTTCCTTCTGGGAGCAGAGCTTCCTCCCATGGTACCTTTCATCAAGAGGGACCTGCTGGGTGTCCCCTGGACTCAACTCTTCCTTGCTGAGGTAGGAGAACCGTTAGCACAGAATGAACATGAAACGGAAACAAAATGTCTGCTAAGTGTCCTGGGAATGTGGAGAGAAGGCCCAGCGCTGGTTTTCCTTAGCAACACGCTTTAGAGGGCAAGACGGTAGGCAATATCGCTCTCCCTGTGGAGTCCTACAAACCTGACGCTAGTCACGAGCCCTCCTGAAGCGCCCTATCTGTTCTGCAAACTAGACAGGGAATTTTTTGGTAAAGAGCTAGAAATGTTTCCAAAATCATTACTGCCCTTTCCTTTCCAAGTCTTGCCCCCTTTTAAGGCCTAGAGGATGATGTAGTCTTCCCGGAAGGGTGTCCAAGTGAGAGGGTGGGCTTGCACCCCCACGTCTGCCTGCCAGTGAGACCTGGCCATGTGTCCCAACCAGGCTGCAAGGTACAGGGAGCAGACCAAGATAATGGGTTTGCAAACAGACATAGACACAAGACTCAGAGCAACCATTTCACTTTGTGCCGGGGCACCATGCTGGTCTAAAGCGGACTTGAGCTCTGCTGGCTGAGGGCACAGCAGCCACGGTTGTCCTGAGGCTCCTTCTGCACCCCTGAGCATGGGGGTAACATTCCTCAGGACCAGGAGGTGAGACAGGAGGTAATGAGGCCTGAGCACCACTGATCCGGGGACCCTGAGGAAACTGGAGCGCACAGCTCTGAGAGGTCCCTGGACTCCTGCCAAGCATAGGAAGTGAGCTGGTGGGCATGTGGATGGGGCAGTCGACACTGGGCACTCTCCCCAGGGCACGGGTGAATACACCATCCTGTGTTGCGGGGCTCAACCCAATCCTGGCTAGCACGCTCTAGTCAGAAGACTGGTTTTATACAGAAAGGTTTTAAAAGTCCCACAGAAGGAGGTAAAGCCAAGAGGGAATACGTGTGGGGCATTCATGCAGCAAGGCCAGTGAAGAGAGTAGTTCCCAGGTGAAGACCTGGGTCTGCACCATCCAGTACACCAAGGGGCAGTGCCATGGACCATGGGCACTCAAGAACAGCCCCTGGATCGCAAAGACTGAACGTGAAAAATGGTAAAACACCTCATCAACATTTTTATGTAGATCACATGTTGAAATGATAATTTTTTAGATATTGGGTTCAATAAATTATAGCATTAAAATGAATTTCAGGGCAGCCGGGGTGGCTGAGCGGTTTGGCGCCACCTTCAGTCCAGGGCTTGATCCTGGAGACCTGGGTTCGAGTCCACGTCAGTCTCCCTGCATGGAGCCTGCTTCTCCCTCTGCCTGTGTCTTTGCCTCTCTCTCTCTCTCTGTGTTTCTCATGAATAAATAAATAAAATCTTTAAAAAAATGAATTTCACCCTTTAATTTTGCCTCTCTTTTTTAAAAGATTTTATTTATATGAGACAGAGTGAGAGAGAGACCACAGGAGGAGGGGAAGGGGCAGAGGGAGAAGCAGTCTCCCCACTGAGCAGGGAGCCTGTGTGGAGCTCAATCCCAGGACCCTGGGATCACAACTGGAGCTGAAGGCAGATGCTTAACCGGCTGATCCACCCAGGTGCCCCTAATTTTATCTTTTAAATTATTTTAAATTATTATAAATGTGGCTACTAGAAGATTTTAAATTAGATATGTAGCTTGAATTATAGTTTTATTGGGCAGCACTGATTTAGAAATCTGGACTCTAATCCTGGCTAATTTAGTCTCTAGCTGGGTAGCAACAGAGGCAAGCTCATTGGATTCCGATTTCTTTTCTGAAATAAGCCCAACTTCCTTCACAGTTAAAAGACTAGCAGAAAATGCTGTCTACACCAGCTATCAGACCAGCATCCCTCTCTTGTTTCTCCGCAGGAAACAGGCCTGTCCCGTGTGGCTGAACAGGTCACAGGCTGCACAAGGGTGACACATTGAAGGGAAGGGATCCTGTTCATAGTATACATAAGTAGATTTGTATATTTATTATTATAATATCCTGGTACCTGGCAATAAGTATCTTGTTCTAACAAAATGAGTATATTACAGTGATTTTCCAACAGATAGAACTAAAGCATCCTGCAGAAGCAATACTCTTTTTCTGATTTGCATAAAAGCTCTCGTGGCCCCACCAGAACCAGAGTCCTGCCTCAATTCCCCTGCAAGGACAGCTGCTTTGCTGGTTTGGCCTTGGTCTCCGTCATAGGCCTGATGCATTGGGGGGCAGGAACCTGGTGCCTTATTTTTACAAAATGTCACTAGTGTCTGGTGCTAATGACTTACAATAAGCAACTGGGCGATGGCCAGGGCTCACCCAGGATGTGCCACTTACCTTTTCATTTTTTTTCTCATCTGGTTTGCATCCGGTGTTGGTGGGGCTGGATGATGACAGGCCACTGCCAGGCCCCACTCCGGCCTCCCCGTTGAGGTTGGCTGCACTGACATTGGGAGGCGTGACGGCTGATGCTGCGGATGTAAGTGGGATGGCTGCTCGGGGGCACTGGGCCCCAAGAATCGTCTGCACGGGGGGCTGGTGCAGGTGCTGCGGGGACACCATCGAGTGGGGTCTGAGGCTGGCAGCGGGCAGGCGTGAGGGGGAGTTCTGGGTGCGCAGGGGCGACACGGTGGCTGTTGGCCGGTCTTGGGCCTGGGCTGAGGAGTGGGCAGCTGGAGCACAGGGTTGGAGAGAGAGTGGGGTTGCAAGGTTAGTTTGTCATGGCTGTGCCATCATCGCGGACTCCACCCTGGATGCATCCTCCTGGGCTCTCAGCCTCTGTCCTTGGTCCCTCTGCACCCACCCTGCTCCTTGGGGACAGGGATGGGGCCTGGTGCCTTGGGGAACACATCCCGTCTCCCCGAAGCCCTGCTGCAGCACAAACAGCCTGCCCTGGGGAGGAGCAGAAACCTCTCCTCCAAGGTTGTTGCCAGTATGGACATGTCCCCAGTTCCCATGAAGCCTTCTAACTGGTTTTCTCTGCTTTGATGAGCAGACACACTCACAAGTTCTTTTACATCGCCCTGATGAAAATGTTCATAAATTAAAGCCCATGACAGAATCCTGAAGAAGCCCCAAGACAACCCCCAAAACTATTAGACACCACTGCATGCAAGGTGACCATTGCCAACAGCTGGATTCTGGTTGCTCTTGACCCCAGAACTGTAACTGGCCCTTGGTCCACACTCAGCATTTTAGCTGGCTGAGCTAGGCCTGCGTGCCTGCGGCAGCTCTTGTGGTTGACAGTCACAGGAGGAAGGTGCTGCAGCTTTGGGCCGTCACCATGCTCACTGCTATCTGCCTGTGGCTGTTGCCTTGCTCGCACACCAAAGTCAATGTCTGGATTTATGGAACAGGAATGTCACAATGATGTATCTGCCCCCTACTTGCCAGCAAAAATGCCTCCTAAGGGTAGTAGGGTCTAAAGGCCTACCGTTTGTAAAAATCTACCATTTGAAAACATAAAGTTCCTTCCAAACCCAGCACCACATTAAAATTAATCCTGCTGCAGCTTGTGTCAGTAATTTTGAAGAACTGTCTCCTAACTCGTAACAGAAGAAACTTACAGGGGCTCAGAGTGAGCCACACCAGAGCAATGTGACTGGTGACCTGGGCTGGGGACCTAAAGGGAGACATGGGTCATGGCAGCCCACACCACTGCATGCCACGTGGCCCATGCCACATTGCACAACTCAGATAAGATCGTTTTTGCACGGTCATCCAGAGAAGAATTACACTTTACACTGCCCTTATTTCCTACCACCAGAACTCATGGCATTTGTAGCTTCAGCAACATGAAGAAACCACATGTGAGAAAACAAAACAATATTCTCAGCCTCCAAATATGCCTTGAATACATAGTCTACTCATAAATCCTAACAGCGTTTCCCTGGCGTGTGAAGTAACTTGGCTGGGCAAACGAGAGCCCCTCCCCACATGGCCCGGCCTCAGATTCTGACAGCGCTGCGTGGGAAGAGCTGGGGAGATCTAATTACGTGATCCTGGCCTCCCTGGGACTCAGGGACTCTGGCCGCATCCTCCGTTTCTAGAAGGTGCGATGTGTAAGGGCTGATTTATGGTTTTAAAAGTATTCAGAGTTTGGGGCGGGTTTGAATCCTCACTCAATGTGGCCTCACATTTCAAAAGACCAGGTTTTAGGCAACGATGCAGATCAATGAAGCCACTGGGGTCACTCCATCAGCCCAAGGGAACCCGTGACTTGGACAGTGCTCCCAGGGCCATTCGTCTGCCTCTCCCCAGCTATCTGAACTCTCCTTCACCCCAGCCCCCTGGCCCTGGCATGGGGTATGGCAGCTGGACCAGGCAAGAGCAACAATCACTTGGGCCCAAGAGCCTGCAGGGGCTGCTCCACATTCTCCCGCGGAGTCCCACACTGCTCCCCTCCACCTCTGGCTGGCTTCCACATGCCTGCCACATGGCCCCGCCAAACCCAGTACAGAAGAGGAGACAGTGTTCCAGAGAGTTCTCAGCCTGCCCGCCAGGCAATCCCTTTGACATCCTCCCCCTTATCTCCCTTGTTCCTCCCTCAGCCACTCCAGCCTCCTCACTGTTCTGCCAACACAGGCTCGCTCTCACCTCAGAGACTGTTGCACAGAATACACTTCCCCAGAGGGCCACGTGTCCCTTTGCCCACTTTGGTCACGGTCACTGCAGACTCTATGCTCCCGGAGAGCCTGTCCTCGCCCACCCACCCAACAGTGCAGGCTGCCGCTCTGCAAGCCCAGCCACTCCTGGCCCGCGTCATCTCCCCTTTCCTCCCACGGCACCATCTGCTCTCCACACTGTGAGTCCCCCTTCATAGCGTGTGGCTGCTCCTAGCCTGCCTCCCCCCACCTCGAGGTGAGCCCACGAGGGAGCTCCACTTGCTGTGCAGTTCAGCAATCTACCCCCAAACAGCCGCCCCAGGGCCCAGCATGCAGCAGATGCTTGATCAATTTCTTGAATGAATGAACAGGTCTTTGAAAAAAGAGAATTTTCAGATTTTACAGAATTGAACCACTGCGGAAGATAAAACTCTTCCATGAGAAAGAGGGGCATGACTCATCACACTGGCTGGTAGAACAATATGGGGTTCCCCGGAGCCCCAGGAGGATTCATCCTCAGGTTCACCCACCCTGTGCCATCCGACCTTGGACTGACCTAGACCACTTCCCTCCAGTCACCCTGCTACTTAGCAATGCCAAAGCCCCTGTGTGACAGAGGCAGCAGTCTGAGGAAATGTTCCTGTTCCATACTGTTCCCCTCTGCTTCTCCTCCATAAACCTTTGGCACAGCCCAGCAACTCTGGAGTGCCTGACCCCCCTGGACCTCAGTCAGTTCACTGCTCCGTCATCCCACAGGTGCTTTATAAAGAGTAGTTGAACCAATGAATGACCAACCTTACATCAACATTATCCTTTTCTTATCCTCAAGTTTATCACTTCCCACTTCATGGATGAAATGAACACTGGCAACTCCCCAAACTTCAGGCCAGGCCAGCCTCTCTCTCAACTCATCTAGACCCACCCTGCCCTCCGGTCTCAAGGATACAGGGTCCCCACAGGGAGCCCCATCATGCTCATCTTGATCCTTTCCCCTAGCTCATCACCTTCTCACCTGTATTAAATTTCTCTATTAACTCTCCTCTTGCAATTCACTAAGCAAGTTTATAGCTCCCATTTTAAAAACAGTCTTTTTTTCTGGCCAGTACCTCTTTTTCCCATTTTCCTTTTACCTAGTATTCTTGAAATAGTGCCTATATTTGTTCTTTCTTACTTTTCATTCAATTCTTTGCATGATCTGTATTTGCCTTCATGACAGTTGTCATCTCTGCTCTGTGTTCCAGATACATTCCTTTGTGCAGCTTTCCAGCGTTACTAATTTCCATCTACAACTATGTCTGTGCTATAGTTTATGTTACCTATAGAGATTTTGTATTTAAATAGATATATTTTTCCCTTTCCAAAATTTCAAGTTGGTTTTCATATTCACCAGTTTCTGATTCATAGCTATCCATCCAATTTTTCCCTTTCATAACACACTGTTTTTTCTTTTTGTTTGGGGGGGGGAAATGTAGGTGTTATTCTTTCTTTTCCCTTTTAGAGAATTATTTATTTATTTTTATTTATTTGTACTTTTAGCTAGACACACCCAATATGGGGCTTGAACCCATGGCTCCAGGATTAAGAGTCAGATGCTCTAATGACTGAGCCAGCCAGGCACCCTTAGAGGATCTTAAATATACTGATATCAAAGCCTTTTTCAGATTTCTCTTTTTTAAAAAATATTTTATTTATGTATTCATGAGAGCCACAGAGAGAGAGAGGCAGAGACACAGGCAGAGGGAGAAGCAGGCTCAATGTAGGGAGCCCAACGTGGGACTCCATCCTGGGACTCCAGGATCACACCCTGGGCTGAAGGCGGTGCTAAACCGCTGGGCAACCGGGGCTGCCCCAGATTTCTCTCTTACTTCTCTCCCATTTCTTCAGTTTATTGGCTATCTTTTATGCATTAGTGTTCCCCTTGTGCTTTGAGATTTCAGTGTGCAAGCTCCTCTTCAGTATGACTATCCTATTGCTCTTGTATCTTTGGTCACTGCTTCTTCATGGTCCCCTGGGACCTTCTCTCAGAACCAGGTATAACAGGATGGTATGAACTCTGGTCCTCAGGCCAGAGCCAAACTCAGCTCCATGCCCAGGTGGCCCTCTCTATCCTCTCCCATACCCTCAGGGAGCAGCTCAGTACTCACAATTCCCCAAGCATGGGGGGACTGCAGCTGTTCAAACCATTGCCCTTGGCTCTGGTCCCCTGATACTCCCCAGGGACTTCTTGTCCATTTTCTCCTGCAGGAGTTGAAAGTCAGCCAACACTGCCTGCTTTTCATTCCAGTAAGCCAATGCTTCAACCCCATTAGCTATTGTGTGTCCCATTTTATTTTGATCCATAGAATTGACTTTTTAAAAATTTAAAAACAAACAAATCTGTTTGTGTTTAAAAGAGGGAATGGGGGATTTCCACATGAACTCACTGTCCCATACTATCGAGGAGTTCTTCATTCACTTCTCAGTCTACTGAAATATAGTTTGTCACTTTCTTTCCATCAAATATTACCTGAACAAGATCAATTATGACTCCACCTGTTAGTGAATTTAATGGACACTTTTCTGTTTTCAGAAAAAATTATCCACTGATCTAGTTGCTTAACTTTACACCAATACCACACTGACTTGATTACTGTAGCCTTATGTCCTGAAAACAGTGTTAGCCTTCCAACTTTGTTGTTCCTTTCCGGTCCTATTCTAGGTCCTTTGAATGCCTATATGAATTTGAGAAACAGGTTACTATTTTTTTCTACAAAAAAGTAGACTGGGGAGGGGCGTCTGAATGGCTCAGGTGGTTAAGCATCTGCCTTCAGCTCAGGTCATGATCTCAGGGTCCTGGGATATAGAGCCCCACACCAGGCTCCCTGCTCTGCAGGGAGTCTGCTTCTCTCTCTCTCCCTCTCCCTCTGTGCTCTCCCCCTCTCTCAAATACATAAAATCTTAAAAAAGATGTTGAGTGCATTTGTGATTGGTATTCCATTGAATCTATAGGTCAAAATTTTGGATAATAAATCCCTTAACAATAGTAAATCTTCTCACTCCTAGATAAAGTGTTTTTTTCTCAACTTTTT